CCTGGAACTCACTTGGTAGCCCAGGCTGGCCTCGAACTCACAGAGATCCACCTGGCTCTGCCTCCCAAGTGCTGGGATTAAAGGCGTGCGCCACCGCCGCCCGGCTAAGATAAACTTTTAAAGCAAAATTCTTTTGGGTGGTGGGTTTCAAGACAGGGTTTCTCTGTGTAGCCCTGGCTGTCCTGGACTTCCTTCTGTAGACCAGGCTAGCTGCAAACTCAAGAGATCCACCTGCCCAAAGCAAAAATTTTTATTGGCTGATTTTTTTTTTTTTTTATAAACGTTATCAGTGACCACCATTAAAAACCATGTCACATAGAAGTGTATTTCCTAAGGTAGAGCATTTACTTGTCTTTTGGAGATTTACTCTCATAACATTTCTTATCTTGTACATTTTGTACAAGAAACAGAATTTTATACAACTAGCATGTCTGGTTGCCCTTTAAAAATTTCAAAACAGTGTGTCTAATTTTTCAGACAAGCAAAATTGTAGTGATTCTGAATTGAGCTGGAAGAAATGTATGTTAGTTCATGCAATGAGACCACACAGTCTAAAAAATTACTGCCATATTTTTAACCAAATGCCTGCTTTATAATTTGACGTTACAAAAGTGGAATATATTAAATGGTTTTACTCTGATTAGTAATTTTTCTTCAGAAAAATGGAAGTATTCTAATTAAATAAAAATAAATGTTTCTCTCAAAATGATGACCAGATTTTAGAAAAGACTTCGCTATAAACTTAGTAAGCTTAAAGTCCAAAATTTCAATTTATATAGTCATTTGCTTGTATAATTTTGAGTATTTTTTGCTTATCTCATTTATTCCTTTCAAAAGCTAATTAACTTTTCTTGACGCTCTAAGCACCCTCAGAAATAACTTTCTGAGCTGGGCAGTGGTGGCACACACCTTTAATCCCAGCACTTGAGGCAGGCGGATCTTTGTAACTTTAAGACCAGTCTGGTCTTCAGAGCTAGTTCCAGGACAACCAGGGCTACATAGAGAAACCCTGCCCCCGCCCCCCCCCAAAAAAAAAGAAAGAAAGAAACAACTTTCTGAAATACTGAGATTGTCAGCTTGGTTCTACCAAGTGCTGTTCCCTGGAGATAGCAGATAGAGTACTCCATTCCAACACAGATAGTGGGTCTCTAACCCTTGGTCTCAGGGTTTGTGGGTTACAGCTACTGGTAATGTCTGCATTGTTAACAGGACCTGAGAAGTTTAAAAATCTTTACAAGAGCAACTTTTTGAGGGATGCGCAAAAAGGTTCAGCAGTAACGGTACTTGCCACCAAGCCTGACAACCTAAATTTGCTTCCTGGGAACCATCTCCTAGGTTAAGAAAATCTGAAGTTTTGGTTGAGATTTATTGCTTTGTTGGTTTTTTGTTTTTTTGTTTTTTTGCTTATGTTTTTAAAGTTGCTTTTTAAAAAGCTATCTGCCTACTTCTCTCAGCAGGCAGTATATTTGTCCTTTTTCACAATACCATGTTTTAGGAAATTGTCCTATGCATGCTATTATAGAAAGATACATATAGTTTATTAATTGAAAAGGAAAGTTGCAGAACAAAATATACCATTTGAACTGTAAAAAGAAAAAATAAGTATATGCAGGCAGCTGTGTATGCCTAGAAATTTTCTAGAGCTATTGAGATACTGGTTATGGTCTAAAGAGTGGAGGTGGTATGGAGCAGGGTCTTAAACATTCTCCTCATAGATACTTCTGTGTATTTGAGATTGTTGCAAGTATCTCTTGGATTTTAATATCTAGTTCTTATGCACCTACTAGGTCATGAGACATGTGTGGAACTGCTTTTAGAACAGGATGTTTTCCAGAAAATAGATGGAAATGCTTTCAGTCCATTGCATTGTGCTGTGTAAGTAAAGTCATAGTGAATCAAATTCCTTGAGTATTTTAAGAAACACTGTTACTGTGACTGATAACCTTGTACCCTGTCCAGGATCAATGACAATGAAGGTGCTGCTGAGATGCTTATTGATACCTTAGGAGCCAGCATTGTGAATGCCACAGATTCAAAGGGAAGGTAGGATTCCAGTTAGTAGCATACAGTATTACTTTCAATAAGAGAAGGCACTGTAATTATTGACAACCTGTTTGAGAGCTTATAGAGAACTCAAAACTAATTGAAAACAGGATTTTGCAGATGTTGTAAATTATTATAAAGTCTTAAGTTCTTTGCATTATTAGTGCATTTAAATTTTTTTGTCATTTTATTTTAAAATGTAAACATTACTCTCCTGATTTAAGAAGTATGATTTTAAACCCAGAGAAAATAGCTTTAAAAGTTAATAGTTTTCTAAATTGGATTAAAGACTGAAAGAAGAGTCCAACAATTGTAATAAGTAGTGTTTTGGAAGTAAACTGTTATTCTTTTTAAGTTTTCTTTAATAATACAGTGTTATTTTAACAGTATTATATAGTTCATCCTTAGTTTAGACAAGTTGTAGTTTAAGATAGATTGTATAAAGTATACATATATAAACTAGAAATTTGTGAGTTCCATTGAGCTTATCTTAGCAATGCTTTTATAACCTAATATGTAAACTCTTGAAAAATTTTTGTCCTGAATTAAAGAATAATTTTTCCAGCGTATGTGCCATTCAGCTTTTGTTCTATTTCACTGTCCCAGGACTCCTCTCCATGCCGCTGCCTTCACAGACCACGTAGAGTGTTTACAGCTGCTGCTCAGCCATAATGCTCAAGTCAATTCCGTGGACTCTACTGGAAAAACACCCCTCATGATGGCTGCAGAAAATGGACAAACTAATACAGTTGGTAAAGAAACTGTTAGAGAAGCTGAGGCCTAGAGTGTGAGGTCAGCCTTGGCTACATAGTGTCTCCATAAAGAAAAGGAAAATTGTTTAGAACCTGGCTTAGTGTGCACCTATAAACTCAGCTACCCAGGAGCCTGTCAGAAGATGGCAAACGTAAGGCTACTCTGGGCTAGGTAGTAAAGCACAACCCATGTTGCTTTTTGTTTTTTTAAGCTGTTTAAGAATTCTGTTCTATGTGTGTAACTTAGATTCCCGACCCTTCTGACTTCCATGAATTATCTCACCATTCCACATTTAATTTTGGAACATTGCCCTTACTGACTGAAAAGTTTTCTTTAACAAAGTAGTTCAACCTCATGATTTAACAACACTGGCTATGGAATGAGATTGAATGAGTGTGAGTCCTAGATCTTAAGTGACCTCCTGCCTCAGTTTGTTCACTTGTAAAATGAGACAACATCTGCTTTAGAAGATTGATGTGAGGTTAACTATAACCTATAAATCCAGGACATATAAAACTTGGACATTTATTAACACTCCAAAATGTTAATTATTGTTGCTACCATCTGATTTACATAAGAATATAAAGGTTCCATATTATATGATAATATAATGCATATGTTATAGTGTTTTTCTTGCAATTAAGTATTTGTAAGAGGGATATTTTGTGCTGTATGTCTTCATTTCTCTAGTGATTTAGTGGTAGTCTGTAAACATGTTCATAAACATAAGAGCTGATGCACTTTTTCTTCCCAGAGATGCTGGTTAGCAGTGCTAGTGCAGATCTGACTTTACAAGATAAGAGTAAAAACACCGCCCTTCACTTGGCTTGCGGCAAGGTATGTACATAGTTTAAGAAGGTAGTTTCGGGCTGGAGAGATGGCTCAGAGGTTAAGAGCACCGACTGCTCTTCCAGAGGTCCTGAGTTCAATTCCCAGCACCCACATGGTGGCTCACAACCATCTGCAATGAGATCTGGCGCCCTCTTCTGGCCTGCAGGGACACATGCAGGCAGAATACTGTATACATAATAAATAAATAAATCTTTAAAAAAAAATGCAGAATTTAAAAAAAAAAAGAATGTAGTTTCATGGTTACTATTGGGTGACATCAAGTTTTTCAGCTCACTAAAATGAACAGAAGTTAGAAACAAACCTAATGATTACTAACCCCGAGTTTCTTGGGTGGAGGTGGGGTGGGAAGTGTTGGCTTACTAGGTTTTCAAAAACAAGTGTAACACTTACTTAACTGCTACTGACCTGTCTTCTTATTCCCATTTCTGATGCCTTTGAATAAATACTTCAGACATTCGCTTAGAAAAATTGTGATAGGTGTGTAATATTGTACATATGGTAAAGATGATTGAGTTTATATGTTTGTTCTTAATAGTGTACAGTTTTTAAGACCTATTTGCCACAATTTTAGGGTCATGAAACTAGTGCCTTGTTAATACTGGAAAAGATAACAGATAGAAACCTCATCAATGCAACCAATGCAGCCTTGCAAACGTAAGTACTTTGAGTATCTGGGTAAACTTAGTGATCTATATAATTCTAAAAAAGGATAAATGCACTTTTTAAAATGTGACCAGAGGATTGGGGATTTAGTTCAGTGGTGGAGCCCTTGCCTAGCCAGCACAAGGCCCTGGGTTCAGTCCTCAGTTCCGGGGGAGGGGGAAATGTGACCAGTAGTATAGATTAGTTACAAACTGTTTAAATAATAATTCCCGGTCTCCCCCGAGGATCTCAGTCCTCGGGGGAGACCTTGATCTGGAGGAGGTGGGAATGGGGGGTGGGCTGGGGGGAAGGGGAGGGGGGAAGGGAGAGAACAAGGGGATCTGTGGCTGTTATGTAGAACTGAATAGTATTGTAAAATAAAATAAAATTAAAAAAAACTCACTTCTGAAATCATGTAACTAAAAAATATATTACTTTAAAAGATTTTGAACTGAAACTTTATTACAACGTTGATGATTTTTTTTTCTCAGTTTACTTACTCATATAATTTTCTAAAAGAAGGCTTTGCTATTCTGTGTGTTATCAAAACTAACTAAAAAGTGCCATTTCATACTAGCAATAAATGAGGTAAGAAGCTGTGTGTGTGTGTGTGTGTGTGTGTGTGTGTGTGTGTGTGTGTGTGTAGCTTAAAGAAGTTTCCGAAAGAATCAATCTCTTAGTATAAGCAGTAAGTCTTGAGTTTGACTGACAGAGATCTTAGGCCCATGTCTCCCGTCTTTGTCTTCCAATTTCCATTGGTTTTAAAAGAGAAAAAAAAAAAAGCTTGAAATAGTTCACATTCCGGGTTCAGGCAAATCCCTCAACGCTCCAAATATTAGTCATGAGGCCAATAAACATCTTTTAAAGATTATTAGAATTTGTGGTATTGTAGTTTATAGCTTTTATTATGTATTCATTAACTTCATTTCTTAGCAAGTTAAGACTGTAGTTCCCCCAGTCCCAGTGGACATCTACATACAACATTGTGGAAGAGGGGATCAAAAGATGGTAAGAGCCAGAGGGTCAAGGAATTTTTTGTGAGATTGTGTCTTCTAGTAAGGTCAGAAGCTAAACCCATAAAGTCTTGCCAACATGGCTGCCTAAACATGACCCGAATAAGGACAACAACATTAGCCATGCCAGAGTGGACCAGGGAAAACCCAGGAGGTCTCAACCCCTCACAAAGAACTACTGGTACCTAAGGAATGCTGAGAGCAGAGAATGGTCTTCTCCAAGGAAGAGCATGCCAATCCAATGCCAGTAGTCAGCCCAGAAAACAAACATACAATATATACAAGTGGCATTATACAAACTGAACAGGTTATATTTAGGAATATATATGTATATACATATATACATGGAATAAAAATAAATAAAAAAAGACGCTATGAATTTGAAAAAGAGTATATGGGAGGGTTTAGAGACGGGAAAGGGAAATGATGTAATTATATTAAAACCTCAAAAGTACAAGAAATTAAAAGAAGAATGTAATTCATTTGGTTAACTTTTTAAATATGGAGCCTTGGAAAGTACAAAGGATTCGATCGGGTCAGGAAACTACTACTGATGTCTAAGGCTGAGCTTCTTTTGGAGGTGCTACTCTTCCTTGATTGAGAACTAGGTGTCTCGGTCCTTATCTCTAGGTCTTCACAACTTGACCAGATGCTCCGTGCAGGCAGGTGTGTGTCTGTGCATGGACTGCACATATATGTACAATTTTCCCCCCACAGGCCTCTGCATGTTGCTGCCCGAAATGGGCTAACAATGGTTGTTCAAGAGCTTCTGGGGAAAGGAGCAAGTGTACTTGCCGTGGATGAAAATGGTAAGTAAGCTCTATGCGCCCTTCCCTTAGCCAACTTCTTGGTAGAAGTTTTTTCTTGATGGTGCATCTTTGAAGTAAAATAAAGTTCTGTACTTTTTTATTGGGCAAAGAAGAACACTGAAATTAATATTGAGGAGTTCTTTGTAGTAGAGAAATAAGAGCAAAAGGAACAAGAAAAAAGTCCATCTGGTAGGTGAGCATCTGAATTCATATATCTTCTATTAAACCAAATGTGATGTTTACTATTTGGTCACCACTATTATTTATTTTGGTAGCCAAAGATTCATTCAACAAATATTTACCAAGGCCCTATGAGAATGTCATAATTTCAGGCAAAGCCAGTCCTTCTACTCTTAAATGAGATTCTGTTACCTCTTTCCTATTAGAGACCCTCACTTTAGCAATTACTCCCTCTCAGTATATCACTTTATGTATTTGCGGTGTTGGAATCAAATCCAAGGCCTTGTGCATACTCTGCAAGTGCTCTACTTAGCTGCACCCTCAGCCTCACCCGTCAACATAAAGACATTCATTAGTCTGCCACCTTAGCAGTCACTGATCTCACAGCTGCTGCCAGCTGCCACTGTGTTTTACTCCAGGGTTGACTTCACATAGGCAGGCCTTTGTCCCCACCACACTGTAGAACTCTTCTCATCAAGGTTCTTGGTTCTCCACGGTATTAAGTCAGTTCTTGTTTCACTTGGCAGGTCAGCTTTTAATATGTGATTACTCCTTTTTTCTTGGTAAACTTCTTTTACTTGGCTTTTAGGGGATCCACACTAACGTAAAGTTCTGAAGTCTAAATCCTTTTTTCTTTTTTTCTCTGTCTGCATTTACCCTCTAGGTGACTACTCTAACCCTTGATTCTAAAAATTATTTGCTGAGACTTCCTAAATGTATATTGCCAGCCCATCCCTTCCCAGTGTCTGCATTCATATATCTAACTGCTTAACTAATAATACCATATGGATGTCTAATAAACAGAACTTTCAACCCTTTTCCTTACCCTTCCAATCCTGATTTCAGTTGAAGACAGGTGCTTTCTTTATAGCTCAAGGCAGGAATGTGAATTGTCCTCGGTTCCTCTCTCATGCCCACTGTACACTCCATCAGCAAATGCTATTGATTACTTTTAAAGTAATCCAGTATTTGAATCCATCTTTCTCTCTGCTTACTACCCTCACAGATATTTTTTAAAACACATGATAATATATTTCTTCTGTCAATTTATTCCTAGTTCTCACAGTGACCTACAAAGTACTCCACTCTTGTGACCTTTCTGCCTCATTTTGCCTCTCCAGAGAAACTACCACAGAGTCTGTATGTGCATTATAGTTTTTGTTTTAGCTGTCTTCTGCCTGGAACACTCTGATCTGCAAATATTCTTTGACTAAATCCTTCACCTGTTTCAAATCATAGCTTCTCCTTAAAGCTTTACCTCACTAATAAATTGTATTACAGCATTCGGTGTCCCAGTTAGCCTATTCATCTCTTGTTCTCGATAAAGCTTATTATAGTCTAACTTACTGAATATGATGTATTTTTTCATGCTGATGTGTGTCTCATCCATTAGCATGAATATGCACTCCATAAAAGCAGAGAATCTGTCATCTGTGTTCACTAATGTTTTCTAAGTGTCAGAAGAGTTTGGGAGTTTAGTAGATGTTTGTTACATGTTTTAATATGTCAAACTGTTAAGCCTGAGGCTTCTGTGTGGAATAAGTATGACATAGTCTACTCTCTATAAAGGAACATTAAAGAATGTTGACCGTTCCTTACAAGATCAGATCAAAGACATTCCAAAATAGCAGCAAGTGGCGAGGGAACGTTTGTTTGTTTTTCAAGACAGGGTTTCTCTGTACCTTTGGTGCCTGTCCTGGATCTCACTCTGTAGACCAGGCTGGCCTAGAACTCACAGAGATCCATTTGGTTCTGCCTCCCGAATGCTGGGGTTAAAGATTGTGCACCACTGTCACCGGCTTTTTTTTTTATTATTGATAACTTTTTTTCATATAATATATTTTGATCATGTTTTCTCCTTCCAATTCTTCCCATATCCTCTCTACCTCCCTACTCACCCAATTTTATGTTCTCTCTCCCTCTCCTTAAAATTAAACAAAAAACACACACACAAAAAAAAAAAACCCACAAAAAATGGAAATCAAAATAAATAAGCAAAAGACCAATAAGGAAAAAAAAAAGTCCAAAGCAAATGACACGTCTACAAAAATACAAAATATTAAAAATATTTAAAAATATGAAAATAATAGTTTTGTTGGCCAACTTTTTTTGTTGTTGTTGTTGTTGTCGTTTTTTGTTGTTGTTGGTTTTTGCTAGGGGTGGGGTGGGGGACATTTCACAAGAGGGTCTCTCTGTGTAACAGTTGTGGCTGTCCTGGAATCCCCTCTGTAGACCAGACCGGCCTCCTCCGACTCTTACAACCTCTCCCCGCTCCTCTTCCACAGAGATCCTTGAGCCTTTGAGGGGAGAGCTTTGATGCAGACATCTCATTTAGTATTAAGTGCTCTAATATCTGTCGCTCTGCACATTGTCCAGTTGCAGGTTTCTGTGTGTGAGTTAGTTAGTTAGTTAGTTAGTTAGTTAGTTAGTTAGTTAGTGAGAGAGCCTTCTAAGCTGAAAGAGCAATAAACCTATTGAGAGAACTTGAGGTGAGTCAGGCGTTAGATCAGGTTGTTAGGAGCCTAACGTTAGAAAGATGGCAGCTTGCCTGAAAGGGGAGCAGCAAGCTGGAGTAGGGAAACAAGACCTAGAGGCATAGATGGCCACCAGCATCGAGATGAGGTGCTCAGAGTGAAAAAGAACATGGATGCTTCCTAGAGTGTATGGTCATAGGTCTTTGGGATCTGGTAAGGAGGGATGAGGTTTTGTAGATGAAGTCATATTCACTGTGACTTGAGAAGCTTGTGTGGATGATACTTTAAATGGCATTGAGCCAAGAATACCCTGTATTAACTTTATTTGGACACAAATGGAAAGCTGAATGAAACTGGGCAGTTAAATGTATGGATCTGAAACACAGACGCACAATCTAGATATTTCTAGGAATACAGCTACTTGTATAGATTAAAATGAATGCCACATTATGCATATTATGATAGCTGCCAACATGTACTTCTTTGTTGACTGTTTATAGGAATTCATGTTGTCTTTTTAAGAAATGAAAAAGAAGTGGGCCAGTGTGTGGCACTACTTTATTCCCAGCATTCAGGAGGCAGGGGCAGATGGGTCTCTGAGTTCGAGGCCAGCCAGGACATACAGAGAAACCCTGTCTCAGAAAGATAGAAAAGAAAAGGATCATATCCTGTTGATGAAGGTTCCCCACTGGTAACCTAGTTATCCTCTAATGCCTTTGACATGTTTCATAGTAATGTGGCTTTAATTCACAAGCTAATATGTCAATAATCTCATGATTGTGTGTAGTGATAGTTGTAAATCAGTCTAGTAACAACAGGTTGATGATTAATTACATTATGAAGACTAAATAAAGACAAGATAAAGGGGCCAGTACATTCTGTGCCTTTGTTCGTTTCCAAGAATGGGGCTAGTGGTATTGGAAGAGGAGCAGGAGGAGGAGGAGGAACATATTACATATTCATGGACTGTCCTCAAGAAGTTTCTCATGTAACCACACCAGCTCATGTAGAAGAGAGAAGCTTCTGTTTTCAGAAGCCACTGATGAGAGATGTGTTCCCACTCACTCAGGTCTTTGTGTCCTATATCTAATGGTTTGGCTCTGCTTGCCAGCATCAGGGTAATAGTAGCTGCCACCTTCACATTTTCAGAAGAGCCTTCAAAGATATGTGAGAAGAAAGCTGTTGCTCAGGCACTTTGAGGAAGTAGTTTAATTAAAACATACTCATCCTTCAGCCACTCTTGCCAGTTCTTTGGGGTAGTCAGCTAGTTGTTCCCTTTGACCTTTAGCAAAATGGCAATTTTACTTGAAGGCTAATAATAATGATAATGAAAAGATGTGGAAGAAGAGGTGACAGCCAGATGCCCAGTAGTTAAAGGTATATATTGTGGTATGATCCTATAATGAAATACAATACAGCAGCAAAAATTACCTGACTATAGTTGCCTGTAACAAAATTAGGTCTCATACACAATTAAGCAAAAGAAGTCATATTTAAAAATATGTATACTATATGCTTCTATTTATATTAGGTTCAAAAAACTAAGTAACAAGGAAATAGTTACCACAGAAGGAAAAGGTCTGGATAGAGTTACCACTGTGGAGGAAGAAAAAACATACAGCACTTGTGGTGTCTGGTGATGTTCTTTCTTTGTCCTTTCTTGTTCTGGCTGGTGACTATCAGTATTTGGTTTGTGATAAAGCTATTTTAAAAACAAATAAGTCTTTTCAAATATATATGCAGATGCTGAAATAAGCATAAAATGAAAAACAATGCAACAATAAATGAAGCTATAGTTTAAAATTATAAGACATCTGTGGCATTAGCACTTTTTGGCTCCATATGGTTAAAACAAGTAAGAACAAAACTTCATATGGAGTAATTGAAACTTGCCATCACACAGTGTTACTTTCACCATCTTCTCCCACTTCATCCACAAGGCTAGTTCTTTGCCAACCAAGGTACCACGTGCTTCCTCCATTGTTTGCCCACTGATGCTTGCTGTTGGGGCACTTGATGTATGAAGGTTGTCTGCTAAGATAAAAGGAAATACTTGTCTTAAATTCTTGGCTTTTAACATTTGCCTGTTTAGTTTATTATTTTCTTGCATGGATGTGTCTACCCAGTAGACCCCAGGAATCTATAAGTGCATACCACTGTGCCTGGTTTACTTACATGGATTCTGGGTTTGAACTTACGTCTTCATGCTTACAGGGTACTTTATCTACTGGGCCATCTCCCCAACACCCAGTTTACCTACTATAGTCTTCAACTGAGGCTGCCTGACAAACACATTAGGAAATGTTAAATTGACAACTATAATTCATTTGGTTTGTAGTTAATGAGCATCTCTTTAATGCTTAATTCATATATATTTAGATTCTCAGCATATAAAAGTTGAATTACACAGGTATGAATTGACACTAAGAATTGGCTCAGTGTTTTAAAGGGAGGTTGGCTAATCTATGTGTTTGTTGTGGTTTTTTCTTCTCCTTATTCTACGAATGCCCAGTATTTTCTGAGTTGGGTTGGATGTGTGATGGGTTGGGTGAGATGTTGGGGAAAGTATGTATCTCAAGGCCCTAGTTTCTTCTCATATTTAGTATTATTATGAATGCTTTCTTTCACCCCCGCATTTTTATGATCATGTCTCTTTCTGCTTACTAGAAAGTTATCAATCTGCTATAAGAATTTGTTATAAGAATCTATGTGTAAAGTTTAAGACCTTTAGACTTACTACCCCATGTTTCATGGGTCTTAGGATACTAATTTTTAAATTTTAAATTGAATCCTAGGCTATACTCCAGCTTTGGCCTGTGCTCCCAATAAGGATGTGGCTGACTGCCTGGCTCTCATTTTGGCCACCATGATGCCTGTCTCCTCAAGTAGCCCATTGTCATCCCTGACATTCAATGCCATTAACCGTTATACCAACACCTCAAAAACAGTTAGCTTTGAAGCCTTGCCTATCATGAGGAATGAACCTAGCTCCTATTGCAGTTTCAACAACATTGGTGGGGAACAAGAGTACTTGTACACTGACGTGGATGAGCTCAACGACTCTGACTCTGAGACCTACTGAAAGGCTGAGCTAAAGGTCTAAAGAAGTTCCGACACTGAAACTTCACACCGGGCTTTTTCGGGAAAAAAAGCACTTTTCTTACTCATATACAAATTCATTCTGAAGAAAGATCACGCAGTGAACGAATAGAAGAAATGTGATGACATTAGGAAGAAGAATCTTAAAGGCAAGTTTTGCAAAAGGAACTTCTAGAATCTTAATAATGACTTGACCAGTGGAAAACACATTGATGTCGATTGCTTTGTGGGATTGTTTAATTGGCTTTGCAGGGCCAGAAACTGGGACGCTGCTCCCTGACCTGCTTATGCAGGCAACACTGCTCTAAGGGAAGAGATAAGGACACTAGGTTAAATTGTACCCAGAAAACTACAGCTAAATTTAAATGCAATAAACGTTTGGTATAGTAGGCATTATGTACACACCAAATTGCCAAAGGACCAAATAGCGTACAGATTTTTTTTTATCGGAACGCCATTTTGTGGAAACAGAAGTAGGTGAAATGAGACGTCATCTAAAGCGAACTTCAATACTTCTGAAAATGAAGCTAAGATTTGGTTTGGTGTTGATTTTTGTAAAGAAAACATCGGAAAGCCTTCCAGTGCTGTATTAACCCATGAAAGAAAGCAAGTGTCTTTTTATGGTTTGTTTGTTGGTTGGTTTTTTGTTTTTTGGTTTTTTGGTTTTTTTTTTTTTCATAAAAATTTTAAGATTCCAGTTTTTATAAAATTCAAAACCAGCTGACTAGGTGCAGTGTGAGTGGAAGTACGTGTGACAGAGATGTAGATAAGTCAGGGCTGCTACCCACTGTTGAGTGGTTTGGTTTTAAAATGAACTCTGTTTCTTTAAGGAATTCCATAGTGGAAATGTTTTTGATGAAATTAAAAATCAGATCATATTACCTATTGTAGCTCAGTGGTCCTGGGGAGTGGGACTGTTTGAGCCTCTGCTTGGGTGACACACCTCCACCTTTGGGTTGGAGGACTTTTGGTGTCATTTATTAATGTTTGAGCTTTGCAAAGCAAGAATCAAAATTTTTTTAAAAATTAAACTTGTTTTGAGAGATCATCTAAAGCTGGTTTTAAATTGCATAAAAACTAGAATTTTAAATTTTTTATATAAAAGAAAAAAGACATCTGCTTTCTCTCATGGTTTAATGCAGTATGAAGGCTTTCATATGTTCATATGTTTCCTTTCTTTCTTTCTTTTTTTTGAGACAGGGTTTCTCTGTGCACCTCCGCTGTCCTGGAATTCACTGTGTAGATCAGGCTGGCCTCAAAAACACAGGGATCCACCTGCCTCTGCCTCCTGAGTGCTAGCTAAAGGTGTGTACCACCATGCCCAGATTCAGGTATTTTCTTTATATAAATCAACATCAAAGCATTTGGCTTCATTTTCAGAAGTGTTGAAGTTTGGTGTAGATGATGATTCATGATATAAACAGAATCAGGTCACTTGGAAGGCATTTCTATATTGGGCAGAATTTAAAATTCTTCAGGCTTTAGGCTCAAGTCAGATCTAGAGTAGCATGTTTGCAGCTTGTACTGTCGGAGAGAGATTGCCTGCCAAATTGGAGACTGCCTTTCAGGTAATAGAGAAGGGGCTGACATTAGGCTTTTAAACAACACTTCTCTGTGGTTCTGCTTTTATTGTAACTGTTACTTTCCCAGTAAAAATGATTTCACATGGGGGGGGGGATCTTAATAGAGCTGGATAAAGTTCCATACATTGCAACAAAATGATACCAATTCACCTTATCCTTTTTGTATTGTGAAACTGGAACTTTATGACATTGTAAATTATCAGCTGGTTTTTCTGAATATAAAGTGTGAAAACACAGAACAGTATTTTGATCTATTTGATAATTTTGTGGGTTTTTTGAAGAATTAATGAGCATGTACATAGAAATAGTGACTGCTTGAATACTGTATTTACTTGCACTCTTTGAGTACATCAAAATTCCTGTATATTTTAGAGTATAATAAAACACAGATGTGAGTTGTATTTAATGAATAATGTATTTGTATCTGTGCATATTACTTAAAAATCTATAAAGTTTCTAGGGCATTGACTACTAGATTTTAAGCATTTTTTTCTAAAATATTTACAAAATTATAAATATAATCTCCATCTTTTCTTTATAATATAAAGAAGTTGTAATGAACCCTTCCTAACTAATAGTGGTAGAAGGGTAAATATGCATTTTAAAGACCGTAGACTACATTTTCTATTGTACCTTTTAAAAAAAAGAAAACTCAAGAGGATTCTAAAAGTATACCATATGTGTGCTTTCTCTTTCCTTTTAGGAATTCTCTTCTGAATTCCCTGAGGGAATTTTCTAGAATCTCAGAATTGAAAGAGACCTGAGGTTCATCCAGTCTAACCTCTTAACCAATGCAGGCGTCCCTTCTCCAAGGTTGTCTTTCCACCTTGAACACTTGCAGTGACTCTACCTCACAAGCAGTGCATTCATTGTTGAGCAGCTCTTTAGGAGGGCTCCTTAACGGAGTTGAAGCCTCCCTCCGGGTAACTTCTGTCCTGGGCCCAGCTCTGTCCTCCAGGAGAGTGTGGGAAGAATGAATCTTCCACCCTCTGCCACGTCTTCTCTTTCACAGGCTGTTGACTCCTTTGCTGCAGTGATTTCCAGAAGGACTCATTAGACACATTGTCTCCACATCTAATGAAATCCAAGGTGTAGCTATAAAGTAACAAACCCATCGTTTAATTTATCCTCCTGTGTATGTAGAGACCGAAGATCATGCCTCACTTTATGTAAATGATGCCATAACTGAAAACATTTGGGAGGTAGTTGGTGCTGTTGCCAGCCAACTAGGAAAGCTGTTCCTTTGCTTTGTGGTAGTTTGTCCCTGACTTGAGCAACCCACTTCATTTGGTGTGCACCCGAAGAGGGAAATTCTGAAGTACTGTCCAGAAAGTGTTGACCAACACCAGTATTTGGAATAAATACACATATATGAGCAAAGCAAAGGACCCTAAGTTACTTTATAGTTACATGCACCTCATGTGGGAAAAGCACTGGACCTGGTTCTGTGGTGTTTTATCCTCGCCCAGAAGGGAAAGCCTGTCAGCCTTTAACCTCTGTGTGAAAGGTGATATCTGAAATACATGTATTACAGTAATACCAGCTTTTGCTCAAAAACAACTTTGGGGAAATAGTGATGATAGGTGACCTCGAACAGTGCCATTTAGTTCAGGAGATCTCTAAATGTAGCTGTAAATTTGGGGTTAATTTGGCTTCATACATTGGATCTTTTAAATGAAATAAAAATTTTTAATGCAAAAAAATCAAGTGTCTTTCTTTTTCACACGTAAATAATGTTTCCCTTTAAAATGTGTAGTGATAAGTTATGGCAGGTTTTCAGATAGGTGTTTTGCAGGTTGTTTCAAGTAGCCCAGGATGGATTCCTGGTCATTCTTCCTCCACTTCCAAGTGCTGGGATTACAGGTATGTGCCTCCATGCCCATCTCTGAGTTTTGTCCTTAAAAGTTCAATGGCTTTTTAATAAAGTTATCTTGGACTTTTGAACTTATCTAAATGAATCTTTGAAATGTATTAAGTATTTATTTCTTACCTGCTATGTACCTGGGGTAGCAATAGGCAGAATGGTGGTAGTACCTTCAATGGCGAATAGTTTGATCTTGAGACAGTAGAAGCAGAAAGTGATAAAATATGATTGAGATAAGCTGCTGAGGGAGGCAGGAACAGGACACCTTGAGGAAGACAGAACAAGCTTCATGGAGGAGGTGGCGCAGAGAGTGACATCAAGGAACAGGCTGAATTAAGTGATTTCTTAGGTTCCAGAGCAGAGCCAGCGGCCTCCAAGTGCTCGGAAGATGGCTACGTGGGGACGCCGTGCTCTTCAGCACTTCGCTTCCTGTGTATGCAAAGAGGCAATAAGAAACTAGATGGAGCTTAGATAACAGGCATAAAAACACACAGACATTAATAACTGGAGCGACAGATTAAAGGGGGCTTTAATCTTTCTTGAAATCATTTCTGCAGGTAACAATAATAGAAAAGGCCAATACAGCATTTATCATGTGTCAGGCAGTCGTAAAATGCTTGAAATACATTATCCCTTAATCCCATAACTGAGATAGGTTCTCTTAATAGCATTTAACATATGGAAGAAGATGAAACAATTTTTTACCAGGGCGGTAATTTTTAAAGCCTGAATTCAAATTCAGGCAGTCCTCCTTTACCATGATCCTTTAATGGTCTCCTATCATGTTTGCTGATTTTCTGTTAAAATCTTGACTTCAAAGTTGTTAAATTTCCTTCAGTTTTATTTTCATAGATGACTATTTTTAGAACAAACAGAAATTTGGTTATGACCGATACTGAACACTTGCAGCTTGCAAAGGATCTGAGGCTCTGGATGTAGAGAGGTGTGGGAGGATGTAGTGTCATTCACCCTATGATGGAGTAGCTCCAGAAAACCGGCCATCTGCTCACCTCCCAGTTACTTGAGCACCCTGTATCTCACTTGCTTAAAATTATCTTCATGCCTTTGTAGGTTGGCTGATAGAGACTTGTTGAGTGACTGCTTCGAGCTGGGCCTGCACAGGCCTTTGCCACCTCTTAGAAGCTGACCTTCGTTTGTCTTATCTGTGTTCACCCTTGAGCCTGAGTTGAAATATAAGAAGTTACATGGGCTGGGTGGTGGTGGCACACACCTTTAACCCCAGCACTCAGGAGGCAGAGCCAGGTGGATCTCTGAGTTCGAGGCCAGCCTGGTCTACATAGTGAGTTCCAGGACAGGCTCCAAAGCTACACAGAGAAACCCTGTCTCAAAGAAAAAAAAAGAAGAAGAAGTTACATGGACGTTTTCATGAGCCTGGAAGGAATCTGACCACACCAACATGATTTGTGCCCTCTGTGTATCAATCACATCTACTGCCACCCCATTGAGCTTAACAAGTGGCATGGCAAACCTAGCCCCTCTAGGACGGGAGGATGGTTTGGGTGCAGCTTCCAAGTTCATAGTTCTAAGATGGTGTGCCTGCTGGTTGGTTGCACTTAGAGGTGTATTTCATGCCTATTTCTTCTTTCTTTGTATTTGTGTTCCCCTCCTGTTTGTTTCCTTTGAAACACGGTCTTGCTGTGAGGCCTAAATTGACATCAAACTTGGGATCCCACTGCTTCAGCTGAGGGCTTCAGTTACAAGTGTGTCCTGCCACCATGCTCAGTTAGTTCTTGATTCCCTTCTAGTGTCGTGGGTCTGGGAGGTGGAGAGGTTTAGGGAGTAAACAGAAAAGTTGACTTTTCTCAAGGTGGAGACCCAACTTGTGCCTATCTCAGTGTTGCTCCAAAAGAACCTAATCTTCTCTAGTTCTTACTGTGATCATCCTTTCCAAAGCAGATGCTAGACTAAAGGAAGATTATTAGGTTTGCCTAGTGGCTGCTTTTAAAAATCCAAGAAGATGGTGACATGTACAATGTTTACTGCCAGTTCTCCATCCTTCAGCACGACTGTGTCTCCATCCCTGCCTAGTTCTCTGAGTTGTTTCTCATTTCCTTCTGGTTACTCACTCTTGCATTCTGCCTACTGGGGTTTTTGTTTTTAAAGAAAGAAAAATGCCATTTTTAGCATTAATTGTAGGTGATGGGTTTATTATATTTCTGTCTGATGTTTTAATTAGATTTTAAAACAAAATTCGAATAGTGATTTAAGCTTAAAATATTTCTTCCTCTCTAATCTTTTTTTTAAGTTTTCAGTTTTAAAGCTTATTTTCCACACTTAACAAGCATCTTTTAAGCACACAGTATGTCGAAAGCATACTGGAGATGCATTGGGACCAGGAAAGACCTTGACCTCAGACTGCTTCTGCTTTGGTCAGACAGATTGAAAAAAAAAAATTCCAGATGATTACTTGCCTGTAGCAGGAATCTTAGAGAGTCTTATTAATAAAACAAACCCAGAGCCAAGTATTGGGGTGAAGCTGGAAGATCAGAGAGACAGAACAAGCCACAGCTAACCTCACCTGGCCAACTTCTCAGCTGGTCTTGTTTCCTCAGACTGGAAGCCTCTGTGTCCTCATCCGAATGGATCTCAGCTAAACCGTGCTGCTAGAAGCCTGAAAGCTTAACCAGCCAAATGCTTCTAGTTTCTGGTCCTCACGCCTTACATACCTTTCTGCTTTCTACCACTACTCCCTGGGATTAAAGGTATGTGTCACCATGCCTGGCCATTTCCAATGTGGCCTTGAACTCACAGAGATCCAGAGGGATTTCTACCTCTGGAGTGCTAGGATTTAAGGTGTGAGTGCCACCATTTTCTAGCCTTTGTATCTAGTGGCTGTTCTGTCTCTGACCCCAGATAAGTACTGCGGGCCGCAGGAATATATCATAAGAACTCAGCTGGTTATGACAAAGTCACTACCTGGAGGAATCAGGGGATTCCTCCAGAGGAAGCCAAATCCCAAGGAGTTTTTGGTGTTACTTGGCTTGTTATATATCAGCTGTATTCTGTTATAAAAATCATGTGTGCCTTCATAGTTTTCCCAATTGATTTTTCCCTAAGAAGGGCTAACAGTGTGGACTGATCACTCTCTAGACATACACATTCCAGGCATTTGGAGAACAGCCTCAGGAAAGGCTTTCTCTGGAATCAGATATCTCCCCTAGCCACTTTCAAGGACTAAAGGAGACATCACCCAGGTGGTCACCCAATTTCCGAGGATTAACAGTGATAACAACCCACAGGCGAGTCTCCTGACTTAAGGTAAATTCCACAAGGGGACACCGCCTAGGTCCGGTAGACATTAAGTAATAGCTTTACACAATTTAGCACAGACCCCTCCTTTCTTACAGCCTTACTAACTTTATAGACCTCTAACTACTTACCTAACCCCTTCTAGGAATTTTTAGATAACCTTCTGTGCTAACAGCTATGCTCAGCCAGAACTCCCAGTTCAAGCCTCCCTGTAATTATCATTATTGGTAGCATCCGGCCAGGTCCATCACCGGATGGAGGAAAGCACCTTATCAGAGATACCTCTGTACTCTCTAAGAACAGACTTAAGCATCCAGGCTACCTGATTGAGAAGGCCTGGTGGATGTGCTAATTAAGCTTAACTTCCTCCTTTCCCAAACCTTACCTCCAGTTCCAGATCTCCCTTTAACTATCACCAGAGGCATCTAGCTGTACACAGGTTGCCTAGAGACTGAGCACAATTTCCCCCACCCTGCAGAAAAAACGGCAGACAGCTTGGACAGATAGGAGCTACGGGAAAAAAGAAGACAGTTTTATTTTCTCCCATTGACCTAGCAACTTATAGATTCTTAACACTTTCTACCAACCACGTTTAAGATTATAGTTGAGCACATAAGAGCCCTCTTACAATTGTTCTGTATGTAAGTCTTGCTATTCATTTCTCCATTGGTCACTTCCCTTTGGGGTTGCAAGTGATAATTAACGGTTGTTGCCTCCCTATGTGATTCTTATCACCCCTCCATTTGACCCTGGAAGCCTGGTTTTGCACTGCTAAGGGAATACTGCTTGTAAGTGTATATATACCAGAACTCCCAGGGCACGGGGAGACAGAGAAGAGAAAAGAGAATGGAAAAACTAGATGGGTAAGAACTTGAGAGGAATGAACTGAGATGGGGAAGAACTAGATTGAAGGACTAGAAGAGAGGACAAGAGGAACGAGATGGAAGATGAGAAAGAGCCAGATGGGGAAGAACAAGATGAGGAAGAGCCAGATGAGAGAGAAGGAGATGGGAGAGGAGCTGATAGGAGAAAGAACTAGATAGATGAGAACCTAGAAGGGACAGAACTAGATGAAGGAATTAAGATATAACAGAGGGGATCGCAGACAAGTGTAGAGAGAAATCAGGCCAAAGATGATCTAAATATGAGAGCAGAATATAAGCTTGTAACTGTCACAGAATAATAAAGTATATGGACTAAGGAGTTTCGTGTACATAGATTCATTTCTTCTCATCAAAGGTTAATTATCAGCTGGTTGTAGATTCTTCCCGGACCCTGGGAGGGGACTATCGAGGGGCTGGACCCCCATAGTCCCCGACAGATAAGTTTATTAGGGTGCACAATATTTTGGGGAACACAATTACCACCACACTTGCCAGAAAAAGATTTGAGAGCAATGCTTACTGAGTCCTGGTGTGTGAGAGAAGCCCTTGAGGATGAGAGGGTTGCTTGTTTACACACTAAGGATTACACAAATATTTGTGGTATAGAGTGACAGAAGATGATGCTGAATATGTAAAAGAATGTTCAGACTCCTGGTAGCAGTAGAGGGTGGAGATGCTGAGCTAA